TTCCTTGTGGAGAGAATGAGGCCCAGCATTATCAACAGGTGGTGTTTGTGCCATCGCTCAAAGTCATCATTACATTAAAAAAAATCAACTCTGTACGTCTGCTCATAAGTAGTTGAATCAAAGTCTTGATAATTTTAAGCCTGTTTCCAAACAGATGTTTATCTTTTCAACGAATGAAGTGTTTATTTAAATTAAAACATACATATATATATATATATATTGTTTATATTTTCATATACAATTGATCCATTAAAATATTTGTAACGTTATTTCGAAAAAGTTTCAATCGCCGATATAAAGACCTCATATAACAGAATGTAATTATGTCAAGAATTATCGTGTCTGTTCTAATGAAACTAATTAACGAAACAGTTCATTATTCATTTTTAATTTAATGCATTTATTATAAATACAAAAATACCAAACCCGTATCAAGTTATAAGAACTTGTTGCTGACTTGCAAATCTGTATCGGTAACAAAATAATAATATCACGTCTTACATTCTACAATAAAATAAACATAGTATAATTCGAGTATATTCATTAACATGTATTCATGAATATATTTTAATACACTTAAATTGTTCGCCTTACGTATATCGCATGCTAATCTATATAAAGTACTGTATTTAAAATTAGAAAACTGGTTAATTTTATTATTTGGGAAAGCATAAAGCATAAAATGATGATAATTGAATTATTACGAACTAGAAAATAATTAGAGAAATGATTTAGAACTGAAAATATATTAACAGATGAAAAAAAATGAAGAATTAAGGAAGAAGGATTTCCTTAATTCCTGAGAGTATTTACAAAATTTATGCACATGAAGAGACGACAGAGGAATCTGACGCCTATAAACAGAGGAAACTTCGAATCTCTCTTCCGTCACGCAATACACTAACTTTCGGAAGCGGGAGTTGTTTTAAATTAGAAACATTAACGCAGTATAGTCTCACTCTTAAAATTTAAGGAAATATGATTGGAGTTAAGTATTTAATTTCATTTCCGATAGTCGCGTTTCCTTTTCTAATATATTTTCAAGTGACATTTTATGGTGTCATTTCGAATATTACGAATGATATTTAGGGGCATGACACATGCTACGAGAGAAATGATACATCTTTCGAAATGAAAAAAATGATATCTTCAGTTCTATTTTCAATTTACTGAAATTAGAAACTCTCCGAAAAAAACAAGAACAAATAATTTCTCTTTTGATATCAGCTGAAAAAATTCTTAACTTTTTACTTTACAGTATAAGGTTCAGTTGTGCTTTTATAAAATCCTTTTTTAAGCATATAAATTAAACGAGTATATTAAAATATTTTGCATTTTCTATTATTAAGTTATATATAAATAAATTTCTACTTTAAATCAATCATTATTAACTGTTCTCAAATATATAAAATCACACACGAATTCTATTCACAAAAGGAAAAGAGCAACGTAAGCACTAGAACCAAATGAATTACTGTAGTGTGGAGAAACGATCCTCCCCATGCATCGAACTACATCCGATGATTTCCTCACAAGGCCTCACGTGGCAGAAGAAGTAAAAATAGCGCTTCTTCACTCGTTTAACCAGAAAATTCCCTCACGCGACGGTCAAGGGATTCAATAAAACATTAAAAATAGAAAGAGTTTTTAGCGTCGTTACTGACTTGTGACAATGGAATAAATTAATAAAACTTCGACAAATAAACTGTTGTTACTTATTCGATTTCCAAATTTAACAAGATTATCATATTAGTAAGTAACCTTCTTGTCTAATCCACTAGATTTAATTTCCTTTCGTTAAAAGATTTTTTGAGATTATCTATTGTCTATCATAATAAACTGTAAGCATATAATTTGAATTCAAAATTAATTAGTTAAGTTGTATGGTTAATTTTATAAAATACTATAGGCTATTTACTCAAATTTCTTTTCGAATTAATAAGAGAAAATTTTATATAAATATAATGGATTATTAGTAGAATCGATTCGAATCTCGTAAGTAAAAAAAATCGTTAAATCGAAAATACACATCAGTCGTCGCCTCCAGCAAATTTCGAAGAAAAGAAAATTTGGCACGAATTCGAAAATCGAGAGGCGATACGCTTATTATAGTGCACGACTTTAACTAGAAGCTTGTTGTAAATGAGCCAAGTTTATTACGTAAACGATCACTACCCCGTTTTGTGTGGAAAATTACCCTAATTAATTTTCTACCATTATCAAAGATGTATTACGGCCCGCTCATCGACAAACGTGTCTAGTCCTCAGGCCCGATGACGCCTTCTCTGGTCGCTGACGTCATGCAATAGGGAGGAAGAACCCGCGAGTCTATTGTCTGCTTTCTGTTTGGTCGACGACAAAGACTGCTTCGCCTCTGCCAGCCTTCCCATTTCTCGGGTGGAGGGAGAACCCCCGCGGAAGCTGAAGACCGAAATTCCGCGCCTGGCCACAATGGTGGCTCGTTAGGCGTGACAAATTCCGAGGCGAGAAGAGAGACGCACTGTTATACAGGAGGTCGACCGAAATGACCGCGGGGAGTCGCTTCTATATGAAGGGAACTTCAGAAACCGGGGATAGGATATAATAGCCAACCATACACATACCTAATTAAGTTTTTTCTCTTCAGTAATTATGATTCCCCGAGCGTATGATCCATCATTACTATTATTGTTCTTCATTTCTCTTCCTCTTCTTAAATATTCGTTTTTTTTTAGCTTCACTGCGAAATATGGTTTTCGAATTTCAAAAATAAGACAGTATTTTCTTCCATTTTTACTTCATAAACGATTCTCTTCATAAAATTCTCTTGTTTAATGAGTCGTTTACATTAACAATCATGCCAAAATATATGAATGATCTATATTAAGTAACCATACATTTTGAATTAATATAGACTATTTTTAAATAGTAGTTTTATTTTCAAATTTATTTCTAAAGAAATCCGAGATGTTGTAAAAGCCAATATATAGGCCTAATTTGCTTTTCTAAACTTTATAAGCGGCATCTTATGAGAATAAACCATGGATTAATGTAGCAGTAGGCCTGCTCTTTAAGTTATTTTTTTAAAATGGATTAAAACGTAACATAAAAGTTTTCTTTTTCTTTGAAGTTTTACTTTAAAAATTCTTTTACAGTAAGAGAAAAAGGAAAATATTTGGAAGATATATTTTCTGTCCTCTCAGTGACTGCAGCTATCTCTTAGGGCATCTATTCGGGGTCCTACTCTCGCATCGGGAGTTTCCGTCTCCATAATCTAGAGGAAATGTGCCAAATCTTTCGACTTGTCGCAATGTCATCGACCATTTTTGAACCTAATGATAACAGCATTGCAAACAGTCGCTCTTTATAGTAAATGATTACGTTTCGCCAATAAATAGAGGTTTGTCGGTTTTCAGCTACACGTTAATTAAAGAACCGACTCTTTCGCACTTAATTAAATATTTTGCACAGGTAATTACTTGATTTTAACTTACAATAACTTGTAATAAAAAGCTTACGTGTATAGATGGGCGTAGTTACTAAAACTCCTCTATATTTTGTTATATATTAATTTCAAAATGAAGATTTTGCTTTATGAACTACCATTTTAAACGCCAAGGTTTTTCTAATGTAACGATAGAAAAGGAAAGACGAAAATAGTAACGGAATGGACAGGAGGAAACGAACTACAAGCAGGAAATCGCCACACTTACCGCCAGCAGGTGGCGCTGAAGTTACATCTGTGCCCGGAAAAATCCATCAGACAAACAAAGATGGCGGCCACGTAATCACGTGGCTAGTGGCATTTCCTTCTCGACCCCATCAGTGACACCTGCGAATTTTGATACGGTGCAAGATGAACGTAAAAAGATGCTGAACAAATTCTTTTTGATTTAATAAATAATATCGACGAAACATCATAAGTTAGAAATTATAATTTTTTTTTTTTCAAAATTTAATTCTTTATTTGTATAGGAGGAAAATATGTCATAAAATATTACGTCGGAAATATAAACGTTATTTTATAATCATAATTTCCTTAATTATAAATTTCTTTAATATTCATCTCCATATTTCGAAATATAGCCTCAATAGATTTATAAATATTAGAGCAAAATTTATAAATTTTATACTTTATTAATTATAAAAGTGAAATTAATAAATAACAGAATTTAATACAGTTAATTTATACTTTAAACTGTGGTATTTTAAATAATAATTAAAATAACTCCGAAAGTTTTTTATGACATTCATAAATCTGCAATTAAGATCGAAGAAATAGGAAGCGTAACATGTTCGATAATATGCAGCAAGCTTAATAATAATAATTAAAATCAAATAAACTAGTCGGAGATAATAAAGTGAGGTAAATATCATTTCATTGGCCGTATCGAGAGAGCTCTTGTTCAAAGTAAATCATTAGTATTAAAATTTCAATTTCCACGAATAACTCGAAGCGTAATTATAGAAATGGATGGTCCAGACCCCAACTTTCACTTTAAATTAAGTCAATATCGCTTTAGGAAAATTAAAACCGGTGACGTCAGTTTTCGACCTCTATGGAATTTATGAATAAAAATCATTAAAGGAAACGAGACATAAAATATGTATATCGGATGTTGTTTATGAAATTGCATACATTTATCAGGATGCCACAGAGGCGTTTGTGGTCCATTCAGGTCGTTTCCGGTCTACGGCATCATTCTTTCATTATTATTGCTTTTTAATTATGACGCCAACGAAATAACAATGCCGAACTTAAAATACCAAACGAAGATTCGATTGGGCAGACAATTCTCTACAGAAGAACTTTCGAGAGAAAGTGTTTAACCGCTAAAGTTTTAAAAAATTCGTGCTTTGACCCTTAACACGGGAGGGCGCTATTTACCAGTCTCTGTGATAAACACGTGACACGCATCTGGATAGTCACCTTGGCTGTATTTTTTATGGAATAAAAGAAGTGTATATTCTAAATAAAAAAAAAATGGTAATTTGTAAACGGGACTATTATCACCAAATTAACTCGAATACGTTTTAATTACAGCGATAAGATTTCGGAAGGAACCAGGATTTATCATTTAGTTCGATATTTTTCCAACAGAGGGATCTGTATGCTCGTCGAGCGGCAGGAAGCTCGGGCAGCTGAACCGGCGCCTTACCCAGCCCAGATCTGAGTGTCGGTTTGCTGGGACCGGCTACAGTGCAGTCGGCGCGGTGACAACGGAGGTACCATCGACTCTAGTTACATAACTGGACCCGGAAACGAGAAAAACTACCCGAGCGGTGGACACGAGGGACTTTAACGTGTTATATATCTTCTAAAGCGCCCATGTTCCCTAATGACCATGTTGTGCCTGGAAAGAGTAAGGATCACGCTCATTCTGGCATCCGCAACGGTCTGCTTTAAATCAGGTAAGAACATCCCGCATTCTCTTCCCGTCTTCCAGTTTCCCGGGAAAAATTTCTGAAAGATAAGAACTGATTGAAAAAGTTATTGAGAGTTAAACGATCGGAAAGAGGCGTAAACGGTTTGTTCTTGGTGAATCAGTTTTTCTTTTTCTTTTTCTTTTTTTTTTTGTTTGTTTCTAACAGTTCAAATCGCGCTCCAATCTATGACGTCTTCCTCACCTTATTCCCTTCTCGCTACGAGGAGGGTGGTCCGACTTTGTTTATCTTTACGGTTATTTTAGATATGTTAAAAGAGAATTTAAGAAAAAAGAGAAAAAAAAGGCGAACTTCCGCCGACACCTCTTCTCTAAAGTCACTTTGTCGAGTTCTTTCTTCATCGAAAATCGAAGTTTGAATCGATTTCGAGTATTTGTCGCGGTGTCCGACTTCAGTTTTATACTTCTATTATTGTCGAATTTTAAAAAAAAAGGACGAAATGTCTTTTACCTAAATAATAAAAATTGAAGCGAAACTCGAAATTACTATCACTCGTTATAATTTTTATTCAAATGAGTGATAATTTGATTATCGGTCGAATTTATGTGGTTAAGAAAATCGTTAAAGTTTATCGCGATTTTTTTTAATAATAAATATCGTAATCTGAACGAGAGATTTGGTTAATTTCCGATCGATACGAAGTTTGTTTATGAGTTTTGCGCGCCGATAGAAGTTGCGGAGTTATTTCTGTCCCGTTGTGTTTTTCGTAAAGAAAACAAAAGCCTCATTTAAAAATATCGTCGATCTTGGTTACACCTGCGCAGTTCCACCTTTCTGGCCAGCAAGCACGTGCATCGAGTATCAAATAACAGCTGTATATGACGTCATCGCGAGATATGATTTTCATTGGTTCATTTATCAAGTTTTTAAGCAATATTCCAAGTCAGGTATCGTCTGAATGACCTCTGAAAATCACGCACAGTTTCATCTCCTAACGAACATCTACAGACGATATTTTACATAAGTGTCTGAAGACCAAGCTTTCTTTTGATTCAATTTTGAAACTTGGAATTTGTTAACTTTTTATCGCTCACTTAAACTGCACTTTATCTTACACAAAAGGTCATAAAATGCACTTTTAAACTAATTACTCCTTCATCTATTTACGTTTTTTTCTTCAAGTTGATAACTTTAAAAAGTGTCTCTCTTTTTTTTTTTTAAATAATCTTTCCAGAAATAAATGAAATGGAAGATTCATTTCTGTAAGTGTCGAAAAGTGTTACCGAGCTTTTCCTTTTTCAATTCACTGCTCATTCATTCGAACAATGGATTTAAAAAAAAGACCATTTTGTTCTAGTTTTCTTCTTTACAGATATAGTCTTCGCACGTCAGTGACCGATTTTTGACTCGGTTCGCATCTTTCTTTTGTTAGCTACGAAACAACCGATAAAATTTCGTGTTTGACATCCACAGAACAACAAACAGACAAGCGTTCTTCTCGGATGGGTTGTTGGCAGAAACGACAATTATCTAAGTAGAAATAGTTCAAAAAGATCGCAACTGAGTATCATCTTTAATTGGTTTCGTATTTCCGGAACCTCTTATTATCGCTATTATATCCTATTATAGCATAATTTCCCAGAGGATGGTTCGGATAATGCTAGAGTATTCGTGAATGCTTATAGAATTGATAGGTCAGTTATCGGAATTCGGTTAATTAATTCGATAAACATACGAGAATCTGATAAGGCGAGTAATTCTAAAAGATACTGGTAAAAATTTATGAGATAAATCGAGTTTGTAAGTAAATGTGATGAAAGTAAATTAAACAGATATCACTTTTGTAATTAAGTTTAATTGGCAAATAAGTTAATACAAGGTGATCAAAGATTATTTGTATTCGTGGCACACCCTTTTTAAAGGATCTAGATTGAATTTTACACTCAATAGTACACGATACCGTGTAATTTAAATTAATTTTATTTCGTAGAAAGTGATATTTTTTAAACGTATTAATGGTTTAATCAGAACGGAAATGTCAGTAGAGCATTTTCATCCTCGACCTCATTCGCTTTCTCAGCGCTTTTGATCGGGTCATCTGTGCCACCTGAACCTTGACATTACGTCTCGTAGCCTCTATTGGTCGATAACGATTTATAATTTAAAAGAAACTTATAATTACATAAGAAAAGCGAGACGAATGAAAACAATTGTATAAAGAAAACAAAGTGTGCTGGTTATGGGTAGATATTCTCTATAGACTCTACTCGCTTACTTCTTATAAAGAATTGAGGTTCGTGTTTCGTTGCTTGGCACTGCCAGGCGCATTAATGCCGGATGTGGATAGGCGGTAACGCTAATACCAGGCTAGCTATCCATCCCAATTTATTAAATATCGAAATGGGGCGAGGATACAGCAGATGGTCGGCTAGTTGGCTAAGTGGTGATATCCTATTGCGCTGTGTATATGCATTTGACACGAAACGTCAATAGCAATACGTGATGCGATGCTTTAATCTTTACCTAGCAACATAATCCGATGCCTTACTCTTCTCTTCCATTATATTATTAATGGCTACCGAAAGAAGTCTTTCCTATCAAATGTTGCCGATATACAGATTAAATATTGTAGTTAATCTGAATAAAAACGTGTTTAATATCAAAACTTCTTAGAAATTCGGATTTTATTTCTTCGTGCAATAAATAATTCTATAATAGGCTTTATGTTTTCGAAGTTCTACTGTAGGCAACTTTGGGGGGTCGTTGGTAGATAAACAAAGAACCAAATCGGAGCTGACCGTATATAAAGCCCGACCCACGCAGACATCCCCTACAAGGAAGACTGGCCATTTGATACCCTGCAGAGGACGAGAAAGGAGAGGCGATGGGCCCGTGCTGTCGTCTTGGTCGCGAGGGGGTGGGCGTTATTCGCCATATGGGATACATCTGTGTCTAAAAAGGAAAATGCCGTCTTTCCCTTATTTTTCTAGCTTTACTCTTCTGACTATCCCAAGAAATGCAGTCTATTTCTTAAGCTCGTTCGTCTTTTTCGCTTGGGGAAATCGCTTCATTTCCTTGATATTCGAAAGTGGAGGAGATTTTTGTCATTCCCTTTTTCATATAACATTACCGAAGTAAAAGACTAAAACGACGATTGTCTTATTTCGACTTTGGTTCGATTCACACCCCTCTTCATTGTAAATGCATGAAGCCGGGAAAAGATACGGGTGAGCACCCTTAAAACATTTCCATTTGCCACCCAAATCTGACATATTTATATTTTCCGTCTTTTTTCCTTTCTGGAATTCGTCTTTCGTTTAACAGATAATCCTCTATTTGTTTGAATTTTGTGGTCTTTCCTTTTCGATCTTATTATATATCCTTATCTTTTCTCAGTTGTTTAGATATATAATTTATAAAATTAAAAATAAAGACAACACTCTTTTCAATTTAATAAATATATATTGTGAAATTACATATAGATAAATGAGATAATAATTTAAATTATTTTCTAATGTTGCTCAACCAGTCTGGGTGTTATCAATTTATATCGAACGTAACTTACGTAACTTAGAAGTAATAATGAAAATCGAATATCGATCAATAGAAGATTAGTTAAATGAGGTAACACAAATATCTGTATATCTTTCTTTTATATAATTTTCTACTATAAATAAATGTTTATACAGTATTTTGAATTAAACCTGTTAAATGGAGTTTGATAAAATTACAAGATAGTTATTATAATATTTTTGTTTTTCGTTTTAGAAAAGTTTACGATTAAGTACTACGCGTAACACTAATCACTTTTTATTACCCTAACACCAGTTTTGATAGCAATTTACTACGGTGTCGTTGGACCCAGAGTTTTCTTTATCCATATGTAGGCCTAGAACTCGCACTCGAGCGCGTAACATTGACCTTAGAACCTGTTTGAACAACTTGGAGTAATATCAAGTTTTTTTGACCTTCTAGACTTCTTTATTAGTCCGCATGTATTCTAGTTGCCAACTTATTTCCTGCTTAGCCCGAGAGGTCGAGTTTTGACAAAAATCTAAAATATTATTTTTACAAGTAGTAAAAGTTTCTAGTGGTTCGTTAACTATGATTATCTCTTTTTGTGATTTAAGTATGTTTATTTGCTAAATTTAATAAAGTCTTAATGAAATAACCTCTCGAATGTAATCTGCTTTGTTAATTTTTAAGTAATCAAAAAATATTCTAAATAAAATTTCTGAAAGTCAATTGCTAATGCAATAATGTTTTTTATGTAAGTTGTAGATTATATCCTTTGATTATTTTTCTTTCTTTTAAGGATTATATTCCTCTCTATTCTAGAATTCGATTCGCATCTTTCGAACTTTCCAAATTACATTAATGACTTCAAATTGCTGCCACAAATTAGCATTCTATAAAAGTAATTATGTTAATTACAGTGGAAAGAAATTAGCAACGGTATCAGTCGATAGTGAAATATTTTGGCCATTTATCAAACTCCCCAACGACCGGACCATTTGTCAAAACGTGTAATTGGTAAATGAACATCGACAAACGGAGAATAAATCGAAGAGTAAGTATATAAAAATAAATCGTACGCCACAGCGATTATCAAAAGTGTACAGATTTCTCTTTCCAATTAAAAAAATAATAATTAAAAAAAAGAAACTTCTCGAGCGGTAACTTCAAAAATAATATTTTCAGTCGCGACATGAAGAAGCCAGTGACTTAACGAGGAGTGAAGGACCACCGCTTTCGTCTGGTTCGACTAGAAGCCGTACGTACGTGGATTGTAAAGACTCACAAAAAAAGAGGGAAATTCCCCTCTCAGTAGACGTTTGTGGTCGAGAGAAACCTTAATTAAGCATTGAAGGAGCGTATTATCAGTGACTTCTAATTAATGCACTAGTCTATCGCTTTTAAGAGTAAGAAAGGGGAAAAGACGACGATGGTTGATCAAAGGGAGTGAAATCATTAACTGTACGAACTGTTAGGAGAAACATATTTTTCTTAATACATTTTTTCAGATCTGGCAATGTTAGGGTGTCTCATTAGACGAAGAAAGTAGATTATTCCCTCACTAGAGAACGAAATAATAAAAACTTAATCACAATTATAACTCTTCGTTAACGGTAACCACTAGAAAATTAATTCGCTACCTAATTATCCAGTCGATTATCTGAGAGTTTAAAGATTAGAATAGTCTTTGTTACGATAAACTTAATATAAGAGGGAAAAAAATATAAATCTAAGCGACCGGATTTGTCGCATGGGACCGGTTACAATCTGTCAAATTAAGGTCAAGATCGAAAGATTTTATTTGTAGATTCCAATTAGCATACAATACGCGCTTCTTCTTTCTGTCAGCTTATGCGATCGGCGTGCGAAGAATAACAAGTAAAGAATTGTTCAGATGGAGATTAGGTCGTCGAGTCCCAACTGTTTGGAAAAAAAATCGATTCTGTCGCCTTTACAGTTACTTAAATTCGAAAAAATATATATGGGAACTTAGACTACACCCTTTAAAAGCGACTTCTCCGCTCGACACATCCCTAGACCCGCCATAAAAATGTAGGCAGTCCAATAATCTATAATATACACGGCGTAAGGAAGGATAGAAACCGTTATTGGACATGGAAGGCCGCACCTGTCGTCGGATCCCGATGTCGAGCCGACATTGTATTTATTAAAGGAGAGAACGGCTATCATAAAACTGCCCGTTCCACCCGATCCTCCCACCCCCTAACTGTTGGCAGTAAAGTTATCGAAGGACATCGAACATCAGGAGAGCGGGCCGTCCGGTCTTGTTCCTAGAAGGGGATGGAAAATGTCGGGGGGAAAAGAAGTTTAGTAAGGCCACCTAGTAGACCGAGTGGTCCAGAGGTTATGATTTTCGTTCCCCCCAAGCGGCAGCTGTGGCCAATGTCGTCGGAAATAACGCACCGGGAATTTATCGCGAGGTCCGGCCCGGACGTTCCACGCGCCGATTGTTACGTCGACGACACGTCAGACGGGACGGGCTGATGATTTAAAAGCCGATTCGGGACAAAATCGAGTTAACTCGTCGTCCGATCCACGTGATTGTTCAACTCAGTTTTAAGCTTTCAGAAGGCGATGGAGATCGATCCAGGACAAAACTAAATTTAGCAGCCGAGAAGTGGAACTGGCAGCTTTCCGAAAGGACACGGCGCAATCTATTAGGAGACTCGATTTGATATTCATGTATACATCCGCCACTTTGCAATTATACTTCTAAAATTGAATTAGATGCCACTCGGCAGTTATGTTTCTCATTAAAGTCAGTTCATCCTTCGGAATAAGCTACAATGTGCACTTCCTTTTCTTTTTCTTACATTATTTTGACATTATGCGGCATTAAAAACAATAAACTTCGACTATAATAGATAAAGGAAAGTTGAAAAGTTAAGGAATCAAGGAGATTCTCTGCCAAATTATCAAGAGCTCTTATATGCTTTTGAAGATGGATGGGCATTATAGTTGTCTTAATGACTGTTGACTAAGGAAATGATATTAAAGGCGGAATTATTTTTCCACTCGTTTATTACTATTTTGTCAAGTATTATTCAAATAAACTATCTTATTAAAATTTATTAGCTGTTAAATTTTATATGTTTAACGGAGGACCACCCAGATTTATTAAAAAGTATTTTAACTTTTCTTCTTTCATCTCTACTATCAACAAGAGATTACTATATATAATAAGTTCGTGTTGAGTGTTAATAGAACATGGAAACGATCGGCAATTCTTTGTAAACATTTCTGATGTTTAGAGTGTTTTTCGAATGAACCATTAACTGCATGGAACCAAACCGTGACATTTGAATTGGCATAGGCTCGAAGTACCGTTAATAAGTTGTAAATGGAAACGGTTATATTCGAGATTTACATTCGTGAATCGAAGCAATTCTAAATAAACACCTTTCGATCACTATTGTCTTTGGCGGAAATGATGTCATCGCGACATAAAAGCGTGACTAACCCCGACCGCGTCCCGGTTAGCTCCGTTAAACGCGTGCCCTTCGTGATACGCGTGCTTATATCTATAAAAACCGTCAGCTGCATGTTACCACCGATCACTTTCGACCCATCCCGTCGGCTTACTACCCACAAAGACATAATTAATGTATGTAGTCAATAGATACGTGATGGATCCGACCCGACGTTTAATACGTCGGACATACGCACGTGCCCGTTTTCTGTGTATATTCTTCAATATTAATGTAAATATCGAAAGAACCCGACCTCCTATTTCCTGTTTGGATCGATAAAAATGTTAAAGGTGGTCGAAAGTCGTGAGTTTACTTTTGTTATCTATCCGTTTCTGATGCTTCACCGATTGATAGAAGGACGAGAAGAATAGAGCAGTAAACTAGTGCGCCTTATCCTCTTCCTCCTCCGGAATAGTGTTTTATCGGGATAGCGGGATCGACCTACAATTGCGGTCAATTAAGCAGTTTTAATGTTAATTCCCAGAATGGAATTACGTGCTGGTTGGTTTTAAAAGATATCGCGCACTAAATTTAACGGGGTAAAGAGCTTCTCTTCTATTTTAAGCCCTCCCCGTTTGCGTAAAGCTCTTTCGGATTTCGCTACTTATATTTTTAGATAATGGATCTAGAATCGCTTTCCAACGGCTACTCGGCTGCTTTAAAATCGATTTTCCGCTTTATAAATGCCACGCGGTGTAATATTTGCGCGGAATTACCCTGGACGCTCGCTAACTATTCAATTAGCATTAAATTTATTTATGTCGTGCAATTAATTTTCGCCGGAAATCGATTTTCTTTCTTTCTTTTTTTTTCTAGAAATTATAAAATCGATTTTTGACTGAACTTATAAAGCTACATTTTCCGTATCCGTATCACTTAGATGAGACTTTTGCCTTCCTTATTAGTGGCATAAACTGTCATGTAGCCTTTTTCTTCGACGGGAGATTGACACCTGAAGGGATGAAAAGAGAAACAACAACGGGGGAAAAAATGAAACAAAAAGCAGCATGGGTCGAACATCTACCGATCGATCGATAAACGTAGGCAGATGGTCATATAAATAAAATTAGTTTCTCTACATGTTAGAAAATTCCGTAAAGGAAGAGCGATAAAAAGAAGCTTTAATAACTTCCTGTCGATATTTTCACCTGCCTCGTAGTAAGTAAAATTAGCCCCGGGCCTAGTCTGGTTTTCGAAGTGGTCCAGCCAGTTTCTGGAAGGATCGGCCCTTCCCGCCATATAATTACATCGGGCCCCGAGTTTGTCGACCTCTCTCTCTTCCTTTATCTTATTCTCGAGTCTATCGTAAGGTGACGTCATCCAGACACGTAATACAGGACGAGGAATTGAAAAAAGAAGAGGAAACCGAGAATTGTTTTTTTTTAACGCGTGTCGTCTTTGTACGGTTTCCAAGACAACCATCCTTGTTTTCTGTGTGATTAAATGCAACCAATTTCGGAGAGTTTTCCGAGTGTCGACCAGCCAAACTCGAGAGCATCCGAGATGTCACTAGCAGACCAACCCCATTGATGCAACAACAAATGGTCTTTAAATAGAATTTTATTCTTTACTACTAAACTCAAAAATCGTGTTTCCGAAATTCGGGACATTGGTAAATAATGAAAAAAATTGCTTGCTTTTTCAATCGCGTAAGAGAAACATGGTTCCTTGCTGCTGTTTATCTCGGTTATCTTTAGTCTAATCTCGGTAGAAATGAACATTATTTATTTACACGAGAAAGAAAGCAATCGGTTTATCCGAATTGGAAAAGGTCGAATGTTTATGGAAGAATTGGTTTCGGGAAATGTATTCGGAACCAATTTGGAGCCGCCATTTCCTGACCAAGAAGAAGGGGGGAAAACAAGAAGAAAAAAACGAAATATCTAACTGGAAATGATGGAAGTTTGGAAACAATTCTAACCGCTTCTTGTTAGATAAGAAAAGATTACTTGGGATGTGGAAGGTTATTCGTCGACCCGCTCTCCTTTAATACTATCAAAGTTTAATCAGTAATCCCCGAGTATTATCGAATGACGTCGAAAGTCGGATAAAAACAAGAATTGTTTGGCTACAGTCGAAGAAACGAGGGGGAAGTTTCGATATCGAAACGAAAAATCGATGGACGGGGGATCGGCGCCACTTTAACATGGTCTAATGTCGAGAGTTGAATGTTAATAAAGTTGATTGAGAAAAGGAGGATGAAGAAGCGCTGGACCGTTCGATTCGTTTGTCTGTCGTACATGGTTCTAAAGTGTCCGGCCGAGATCTCTCCCATTAGAAGCGCGATTGAATTTTCATATCTTATTAGCCATCTGTCGATGTAAGCAGTCGTTTGGCGGTCGATGTTTTAATGATGGTTTGCCTTTCCCCATCCTTCCAAATGGAAGTTGCATGTAAATTCGGCGCAGCATCTTTTCCGTCGACCATTAAACCATCGACAGTTTCCATTTTCGAAACATGAGCTTCCAAATCCTTTTTCCGCCCATAATATTTTTCTTCTTGTCGTCTTCCATTTGTTCCGGATATAAGGATGGTCTCATCGACTTTCGATAGTAGCTAGTTTAGCATCTCCCCACTAAAGAAATTGTCGATGTTATCGATGCGCCAAACGTTTTAAACAAAATTGCGACGTTGTTCTTTTTCCTTTTCCTACCATTCCGTTTCGTGACAAATTTTGATGACGTCCGATGATGTATGGTGACGGTTGAAAGGAGTTTTCCATTGTAATAGAATTAAACGATGGTTTCTAATGATCTCGGCAGTTGCAATTAATATCGAGATACAATAGACTGTAAACATCGGGGACACTTATCCTCTTCAAAATGACATTCACTACTTTTAATAAATCTTGTCTCCGATTTGGTCTTCCAACGTTCTGCCTAATTCGTTCGATGGATATAAGAGTATAAATAAGGATCGGGGCTCTAATGGAGGAGAATTATCATATATAACGCGCCAGAAACCCGCGTAAATCATAAAAGCCGTTCCAACTACCACGAATAGAATTCTATTTTTCCCTTTTTCTTCTTCCTTCTGCCTCACTTCTCCAGTTACAACCATGAAAAAGTCAAAATAGTGAATGGTGTATCGAAAATAAATTTTTAAAATATTTTATTATGTCTTAGCAATTAATCTGTCGATTCTATTTAAGAAATTTTCTTAATATTCTATACAAAAACATTCTTAAAAACCGAGTAGTTAAATTATTAACGGCTTGATTATTGAGATGATGGAGATAAAAATCGAAGGGAAAAACATTAGCTCGTCTTAATAAAAACATCTGCCAATTATAGTTTTTAAGAAGAAACCAGCCGTGTTTATTGTATTAGATGAAAAATACAGGTTTAAGATTTCTGATAAATTTATCGACATTTAATAGTTTAATGTTAATTAATTCGGGAAAGAAAGGAGATTGAATCTGGGATTAAAAATGCTGAACTTCTGTTCGAAGTAGAGAAGATAAATAAGCAATAAAAATTTATGGTAGCGTGCGGCAAAAAATATTCTTCGATGAAAAGTGGTAATGATATTTTCGGATAAAATATGATTATAAATTTCTATTGGATTAAAATAAAATTATTTATTTATTTCAATGAGGCCATCACGCTCATTTTTTTTATAAAGGCAGATGTTTGGTTTTGATCTTTACAGATTTCTCCACTTTTACTCATTCAATACATTATTTATAAGCATTAATTAACTGTTCACGAGATATCTACTTTTGTTTGTTATCTATCAAAACATTCTGTTTTGCCTCTGGTATAAAACTAATATAAAACATTAAAAAAAGTGGGTCAATCCTATCGTTGAGTGAAAATGTACCGATAACAAATTACATAGATTTCTCTGTAATAAATTAATACAAAGCATTTTCGTAAATTTCCAAATTTCTCGACATAAATTTCGAAAATAAATCTCGCTAATTAACAGCGGTATAATGTTTTAAATTAATCTATATGCTAATTATCTATAACATTGCAACTTCCTCAATATATTATATCCGCGTTATCTCTTTGAAATACCTTATTACAGAGAAAACATTAAAATTGCTTATATAGATCATTTATAATTGTTAAAATTGCATTAAACGTGTTTTGTGAACGATAATAGATAAGATATTTCCTAGAAAATTTAATGCTAAACTTATTTATTTGGATACAAAAAAAAGGCGACTGCTTTCTCGTGTCTTTGAATGTATTCTTCTGAAAAGATGGCACGCGTTTATTTATAATGCAAAAAGGATCATGAATATTCATAGACGAATGTGTTTTTCTCTAGTCTCATCTTATCTATTTCTCCGGTATTCAACGTTAAAGTTCAAACTCCATATAAGTTATACATGGATATTTCGTTACACGAAAACTCTTCGTGTGAGGAAAAGAGTTTGCTGATGAATTCTCCGTGCGTGTCTGACTATCTGATCGATGTATCCTACACCTACCTAACTACCTACCGTGTCTCGTGTTGAACTGGTTCCATCGCCAGTGGCAAACTGCTGTCTAGTCTTCGTTCTATTAGGTTAGTATAGTATATAGTATTTACACGTCATTTTTTTGTTGCATGTAATGAAGCTCGGTGCTTGAAAAATGAATATTGATTATATGTGTAAGACCTCTATAAATCTGATTCGTTATTCCGATTGAGCCGTGAGATTCGAGGATAAAACTCTGACATTACTTAATTGATATAATTTATCGTTTATTTTTATTTTTATTTTTTTCTTTTAAGTAAGGCGCCATTGCTACGATTTAGACGTATCGAGAAGCGTATGACCCGCGAACTTGTAAGATGTATTAGTTGACTTTGACGTATTCTATACTGAACTTTAAGACGAGATATAAACTAAAGTAGACTATTATCAATCAAAGAAGATATTAAATATTTCAACACCTATCCTATCAATCATTAAACTCTGTGTGCCGTGCAGTTATATGGAGTAGTGTGCCGGTTTTATTTATTATTATCTAAAAATTCTTCTCGTTAAAATGAATCTTTATAATTTGTGCCAACTTTAAATAGTCTTTCGTTTAGAAACAAACGGAATAGGAAAATGAAATTATCTTTGTGGATAATTATAATGTCGAAGTAATAAAGCTAACATTGTTTAACAATGATGTATGGTTGGACAAACTTGGCTTCCAATTATAGGCGTTAATTATATTTATGTTCTTATCATTTCTCAAAAGATCCCATCTGTTTTTGATCTATTTCTATTTTAGTAGTTGATTGTCTTTATAATTCTTTAAATAAAAATTTAACTGTTCATTTAAACTTTAATGTTTTGCATTTTTCTTCGTGTTTATCGTTTGAAAAATCTAATAAACTATTAAAATGTGTTTTACTCTTTTCTCACGTTAAAGGAGCATTTTTTCTTTTCGTTCGGCCGATGA